GACAGGTTTGATTCATACTCAGTCTGACAACATTGTCAACGTGTAGCATGTGGTTGCAGCCAATGTGACACGGACATTTATCGTCAAAACGCACCGTGCATGACAGTAAGAGGTTCACGTTGGCATAGGTTTTCAGGCACTATGATGACCTTTTTCTCAAATAGGCCCCCGAACATGCCAGGCCTGTCATGTGAATTAACTTTTAAAATGAGCAACAAAAAAATCAATATGTGATAGTAAAAAGTCGGCCCTGACTTTGCAAGGTCAGTTTAACATATACCGGTACTTCTCCCTGACAATGGCACTTTCCCACTCACTCTTTCGACTGTTGGTAATGATATTCCCGATATAGTCCTCATATTATAGGAAATAATATAACTGCAGTTTAGATCAGATTAAATTTCTTTGTATTTGAGCTATTAGATAAATAGGGTGGAAATTCTTAAGTTGAATGAAATCAGTTCAGGGACGTAGAACTTTTTTCCCCCATAGAAAGTAATGGAAACTATCTCTCATGAACTTAAAACCTTAATTATTTACATGGTCATTTGAAGTAAAATCGTGATGCACTTAACGATCATACAACTACAAAAATGTGTTAATAACTATTGATATTAGGATGCAAAATTAATAAAGTATGACTGGACTAACAATTGGCCCCTCACGGCTGAAGACTGAGGGCAGCCATTTTACGTTGCAAATATTATGGACAACTTATGTTATTTATTTATTAATGTATTTATTCATTTATTTATTTTCCTGAAAACATTGTTATCAGTGCGTGTTTTACACTAGGATCCCTGTATGAAGTCATGAAAGCCTCTCAAAGAACAAACTTCACTCTTTGCATCGATGATTCAGAGTGCCGTATGTTATCTCAGCTGTTAATAACAACGCAGGACTTACTGTGCAAGACATTTTTTCCATCTACCGTGGTGTCAAAAGGCTTATTTTAGGAGGGTTTCAATCTATGTGCTTATATGTAGTACATAAATATTTTTACACAGTATGTTAGGTATATTAAATCTGTCCAAAAAGAATGAAAAGCAATTTCTCACGACCTTTGCTCACATCCTGCATCTATGAGTTGGTAGGCACCATCCTGTTCATAAATAGTGAGGCCCCTGCCGTCTAACATTTCTCATCCTTATTTGAGCCAAGTCACAGGCAGTGCATCTGCCCGTCTCCCTTTCCCTGGGTGAAAGATGGATAGACAGAGCGTGCAAGAGTCCTTGGCTGAACTGTAGAAGTGCTGATGTGGCGCCAGGCCCACTAACAGCATGATGACGTCTCTATCTGTCCGTGTGATGCACCCTGCCTCACACAGCCTGAGAAAAAAAAAAAATCTCCAAGCAATATGCTGGTCAACACAATGTATATAAAATTTGTGTTCTCACAATGGAAGAGAATTTTAACAAATATATATTCTGTGTATATATATGAATTTTTGGGCAAATGTGCCGTACATATCTCTATCACTTATCACTAAAACAGATAAAATGGTTTTACTATTCTATGGTTTACTTCTTTTTACGCTTGTATGATGGTTTAAAAAAATGGATGGATTTTGGACAAATTTGCCTGCTCATAATTAAAAGTCACTTGATCAATTGCTTTTTTTTGTTGTTTTTAAACAAATATTTTTAATGAGTTTTGAACATCATGTTGTTTTCAGCAGAATAATGATGTCTGGAGGTCAGAGTAGATTGCGCTCAAGTTCTCATTGCTGACTCTGTGTTACTTCTTTAGTAGAAACGTGGGTGTGAGTGATTGTTTGTCTCTATGGTGTGCCCTGAGACTGTCTGGCGACGAGTTCAGGGTGTAGTCCGCCTTTCAACCAAAATTAGCTGGGATAGGCTCCCGCAACCCTTTTCAGACATGACTTGAAGAAAGACATGACTTTGGTGGACACACAGGTTTACATTCTGCCATCGAACAGAAGGGCACATAATTGTTCTCTCTGTCATGATATATTGCTAGCATAGCGATATGGGCCTTCAAAGTTATAAATAATCATGGTGAGACAAATTAAGAGGAATTTGATCATGTTCCACAGCCCCGCAGATCATGCACGGCACACTTAATGTGGAAAACCACAACAGAAAGAATCGAGCTAAGATTCGAAGCACATGCTGAACAAATGCCTGTCTGTGCGCAATGGATAGTCCTTTTGAGTTAAAAAATAGTGCTGCACCAAATTTTGCTGTCTTTATGGAGGATTAGCATTTCGAGTTGGAACCACCACAAAAAAACGGAATCTACTTTAACTTCCCATTTTGGTTTCATCTTCAGTTCATTTAGTCAACAACATGGTCTCAGCTGGCTGCAGCCCAGTAAAATCATTCATTAGGCTTTGATTGCTTTTCAAGACAAAAATGCCTTTGCATGTAACAGCACGGATCACATCGTCCTTTATCACAGACTACTTATCTTGCAGCATCTTTATAACTTCATCAAGTCTCCTATATAATCAGCATCTGTCTTAGTTGCCCCTCACACTAACACCAAACCTTCAGCCATCACTGACTCACTCGCGCGCGCGCGCACGCACACACATACACACACACGCACACACACACACACACACACACACACACACGCTCTTGTTCAGATCCACACCCACACACCAACACGAGTTCATGCAGCATCACTCAGCTGACCTGAATGATGTTGGAGTGTGGATTTCTCCTGTGCCCGTGTTCAAGTGACTCATCTATCCTTCCACTGCTTCATTACAGCCTGCAAGGGCAAATGCTATCTCCTGCTCCGTCTGCCGCCCCAGGTGGAGGCAGAGAGATGGAGATATACAGTACGTAGAAAGTGTGATATCGCTGTCTTCAGAATCATCTCCCCCACCTTCATCTTGCGTTTCTCTATTTTTATCACCTGTCTCCACATCTATTGCTTTATAATGTATATCTATGTTTTTAATCAAGCTTGCTGTCCTCCTCTTTCAACAAACCTTGAGTGAGTGTTGGGACGTTTAAGTAGCTAAATGTCAATATTTCAACCCTTAAAGCAGAATTGACTGTAATGCAAATAGCTCTAATCGAAAGCACACAAACAAGTCCTTTGGAGTTGCAAGGTTAGGGCTCAATGCCCTGATTTAGCTGAAGGAATCTAAATACCTCCACACAGTCCCAAAATGTGAGGAGGAGAGTTTTCCAAGAAAGATGTAAGCTAGAACCAGACGAGTTTTAATCAGTTAGGGATGACATGAGTAAAGCTTAACGAAGAGATGAAAGATGAAAGTATACAATAAGACTTAGATTTTCTAAAGGCAGAGAGCTAGATTGTGTTCTGCTCGGAGGCACAGCTTTTTGGAGAAAAAAAAATGTCTTGAGGCCCTAGGGTAAGGCATAAATAATGGATTGCTAAAACCTCTTATTCTCTCAATTTTATATGGCTAGCTGTTATCAAAAATAACTGGATCTACAGCGCATTAGCAGACTTGCACGCAACAGAGTGGTTTCTCGTCTGAGGAGGACTTGGGGAAGAAGTACCCAACTTTCTAACTTTCTCTGTCATCGTAATATAATGCCGTCACAGAACTATGCCAACAAAAACAATAAAATTGATCTCAGTCACACATAAACTTGAAGATCAAACAATCTTTGGACCGAGACATCAGTCTATCACATGAGCCTACAGCAAATCTTGTGAGACTTCGGATCAGATGCGTTGAGGACCAAAAGGATTAACTCCAAATGTGTATTTTACATTTTTGGCTATTTTCAGAAAGTGGAAAAGTGTGAAGCGGCATGGTGATTGACTGGTTAGCAAGTCCACCTCACAGCGCAGAGGTCCGCGGTTCAATTCCAGGGTCTGGCCTTCCTATGTGGAGTCTGCATGTTCTCCCCGTGCCGACATGGGTTTTCTCCGAGTATTCCGGTTTCCTCCCACATTCCAAAAACATGCATGGTAGGTTAATTGAACACTCTAAATTGTCCAGAGGTGTGATTGTGAGCGTGAATGGTTGGTTGTCTATTTGTGCCCTGCGGTTGGCTGGCAATCAGTTGTGGGTGCACCCCACCTACTGCTCGAAGACAACTGGGGTAAACTCCAGCATGCCCGCGACCCTCGTGAGGATAAGCGGACTAGAAAATGAATGAATGGATGGATAGATGGATGGATGTTTCCAAGCAGAAAATTTGTGTCAAAATCTGAACAAATCAGAAGGCAACCACGTGTTCTAAGTTGGACTTCAGAGTTGAAGAGTTTCATGTGACTTATAAAGTTACAATTGATCTATGATCTTGGATCTCTTATCCCAACAACCACAGGCACCGAAACCTCATTACTCTTAAAGACAACCATTTCGACAGAGAAGACTGATAAAGCTGAATCAATGCCAGTGATCACTTGCCACCTTGATATGTAAAAGCGCACTGAAGAAGAAACGACAGAAGGGCCAGTCTCATTGAAGGAACTCTTTCAAGTAATTTCATCATAAGGAGGACAATGGCGATTGAACTCTAACTTTTCCATTGAAATAGTTATTAATTTAGAATATATCGTACTTTCATCATGCTACAGTAGTTGAATTTGAGGTTCTATGCCTCGTTTTTTACTCTTAATTCCATCCAATTTCTTTACAGCTTGTTCTCAATCCAAAGCAGCCAATGGATATATATAAACTTGTTTTGATGGTTACATTCAGATGTTGTGGCTTTTAATCAAGTGTGTTTTGTCGTCTGGAAATGAGGGTACTGTACTTCTTTGGTCGTGACCGTGTCCGCCATATTTGATGTGGCATGCCCCCAGTAAACTAACCAGATTTCACACTGAGTAAATACATTTGTGGGCAAATTTCGATGAAATGGTCACTATTTCAGTATTCATACTTTTTAAATGTAAAATTGGTGACTTGGCTCACCAAATGTTGCGGGAAAAAAATGCTTAGTGTGTCTGTCTACTGTGAATACTCCCTCAGATATAGTCAGTGGGTTACAGTGTCAGATTACAGTACTGCCTTCTACTTGCGTCACATATTCAATGACGTCATGTCACTCCTACCTGTTTTGGGACAGTGAGGAAGTTCCACTTTTGGGTGGATTTGTTTGACAGCTAGCGTATACTACCCACTTTCATTTAGCTTCCACTCCATGCAGAATCAAGCATGCTACTTCTCGAAGTGAAGTGAACGAGCGAAGGGAACTTGCGCCTTAAAACTTTTTGGTGTTGCTTTTCTCGAGCACCATGGCAGATATGGACACTACCGGGGCCTTCAGTCGCAAGAGAAGGGCCACGTTTGCGGCGGGGAGAGGAGCGAGTCTAAAGCCGATGAATGAGAAGTGTATGTCGGCGAGTCAGTTTTCAGTGGCCGCTGGCCGAAAAACGGACAGCGAGGCAGCCAAAGTTGACCGCCCTTGGGAGACAGCCCGGCCCACAACAAAGTGTGACAAAAAGAAACGTAACAATGACATAAACGACAGATTGAGGTGAGTTATATTGAGTATTTCAAAAGACAAAAGAAAAAAAACTTACCGAAAGTTTGTTATGGTGTTTTTGATCAAGCATCGGACACATATGTTCATGTTAGCTCGTTTGCTTGCTGGAGTCCCAAGTCCCCATCATAACTGCAAATGCACTTGTAATATTTCACACCAAAAAATTGATAAGGTTGAACTCTGATGTACGTGCTTCAAGAAATAAAGCGTGTAAACCAGTTCTAAATACCAAATGGTAACGAGTGGCTTAAAATTTTCAGGTGCACTATGCAAAATCATTTGGGCAACTCGGTGATGGCTATGTGAACATGATTGGCTTAGCGATGTGGCATTCAAGGACTTTAATAAACTGTGATGTTTGAATAGAGTTCGTTCAGGAGTTGCACCGTTTTTTTTTTTTTTTTTTTACAATCAACGTCATAGTTCCAGTCAAACCACACCTAAATGACAACTGATTCATTCAACTGTCGTTTGTATTCTTACCCCATCAAGCTGTCACAAGACACAAGAGTCCCTGCTGTCTTCATCCAGTGGTTTCAGTAACTACAGAGGCATTCTAAACTGGTGCGTGGTAATGCTGGTAAGAGAACGCTTTTTAGGATATTCACATAATGCCATGCATACATTTATTCACATATTTTCAATATAGCTTGCCCTTATGAGGGGTTATTGGTTATTTTGAATGAGAGGAGGGACACAACCTCGACTCTTTCTTGTCGCAAAGAAATTTTGAACATTTTCAAAATTGGATGACGACTGGAAAAATAGTTTGCATCAATGAAGACAGTTTGGCGAACTGAACCCTGACAAAATAAAAACAACAGTCACAACGTGCATACACATACTTGCAAACCTTTGCCGCTCAGTGAGATACCAGCTGATACCAGGTGTTCCTCGCCTCCTGCCCAAAGTGAGCAGGGATACGCTCGGTGATAGGACAAGAGCACTATACTGTATATGTATGAATGAATAAATCTAACATGCATGATGTTGGAATGTGGAAGGAAACTGCAGTACCTGGAGAAAACCCACACAAGGCTGCTGTTCATCATGTTCCATTTGTTGAAATGTCTGATGACAAGCTACGTTAATATTCAATATTAAACAAAGGACAGCCATTTAAATATACCTGTAATCTCTAATCTCAAACCCCCTCAGCACGCTGCTGTCTCCAAATCTGTAGCTGGGGATTGAAAAAAAAACTAGTGCAACAAAATATTGACAAATTAGGCATTGCCATCCAAAAATAACTTGACTAGCCATGTTGAGGTTAACGACTTTAAATATTGTACTCTCGGGCGGCCCGGTGACCAGTGGTTAGCGTGTCGACCTCACAGTGTAGAGGTACCGGGTTCGATTCCAGCTCCGACCTCCCTGTGTGGAGTTTGCATGTTCCCCCTGTGTGACTGCGTGGGTTTTCTCCGGGTACTCCGGTTTCCTCCCACATTCCAAAAACATGCACGGCAGGCTGACTGAACACTCCAAATTGTCCCTAGGTGTGAGTGTGAGCGTGGATGGTTGTTCGTCTACGTGTGCCCTGCGATTGGCTGTCAACCGGTTCAGGGTGTCCCCCGCCTACTGCCCGTAGACAGCCAGGATAGGCTCCAGCGACCCTTGTGAGGATAAAGCGGGTCAGAAAATGTATGGATGGATTGTACTCTATATGTTAAGATCAAAAGTATTATGCTCTGAGTAGTAGTAGTACCAGTAGTAGTAGTAGCAGTTGTAAAAACAAAAGATTGCTTGGAGTTTCATAAACATTTGCATCTAAGAACACTTTGTCTTATTCATTGTCAGAATTGGTCTTTTGCCAGCTTGAACACTATAAATATACATCTTGGCAAGGTGTTTTGTTTTCGATCGATAGTCCCCTTAATGTGCTCTGAGTAAGTTTGACAGTGTGGTCAGATCTACCTCAGTCCAGATAAAATGCACTTTATGTACTCACAACGCAGATTATTTCAAGGTATGGCACAATGTTAGGTTAACACAATTTCCAGATAACAGAATTTTGTCTTCTCTGTTCAGATAAGAGACTGAATGTGAGCGAATAGGAGCAGGGATGCAGCTGTAGCAAAGCCTGCCTGCTACTAATCCAGCCTTTGAACACAGATCGTTGTGTTCATCACGAGAGGTTTTCTCTTCATTCCTACTGAACTTCTGTCCCATCCCCAGGCATGGAGTCTTTGTGTGGGGTAATGAGATATCACCATCCATTCACAAATAGAAAGAGTGAGCCAGGGAGTTAAAAAAAAGACTGATGAGAAAAAAGTAGGATAAAGTGGAAGAAAAATTTGAGGCAAGGAAGAAAGATGAAGAAAATAGAAAATATATCTCGATGATGAAAGAAGTGACCGAGAGCAAGTGAAAAGTGCCATTTTGCAAAAGAAAAACCCGTAACTGTAACCTGTAACTATTTTTTTTTTTGTTACAGATACTTGGTAATGCCCGACTCTTCCTAGAAAACCTGTTAAGGTAAGCATGCTTAGCTTTTAAATCCCGTCTGCATTTGATACAACTGTTATTGAGTAATCTTTTTATTCCATGACATTTATTTTACTGGCTCAAAGAACTTTGTGCATGGTGACACTTGAATTATTTCCCATGGAAAGCTCAACTGATTTAACACTTTCCGCAGTCAATAATGTTACAAGTTACTGAAACGTCATTAGACTGAAAAATAGCCGCTGTTGTTAAACGTCTGATAAACAGAGATTCGCTCATATTTTAGGTGCAAAGTGTGACTATTTTTGGGCAGTCTGGAGCCCTCTCTTTGGCCAAATTTATCGTTACAGCTTTGAAAGCCTGGAAGATAATTAAAAGAAAAATAGTTATTCAACTGGTTTCCTTTTTTTGAAGAGGAACTGCTATCCTAAGCGGGTGGAGTTGTGTGATTTCAGTTCATCATTTTCGTAATCTTTTTGTAATCTGTTTAAACAGATATGGGGTTCTGGTGGACCCTATTAAAGTGATTTCCTTATTCTTGAAGGACCCCTACAGCTGGCCAGCAGTGTGCCTGGTAATTGGTACGTACAAAACACATACAGCTCTTTCTTTTTTTTCCAAAGGCAAATATCATTGTAAAATGATCATTGATAATGACACAGCATATTGATGTCCTCAAAAATATGAACCCTGATTCAGTAAATTTTTTAGCATGGAGAATTATACATAGGAAAATTTAGATTTGTGAAATTTAGGAGTCCATTATTATATTAGATTCTATGTACAGTAAAATTAACTTGACCACAGACCATGAGAAAATGACTTGCCTTAGTTTAAGACACACAGAAGCTCATACACACACGCACACACGCGCGCGCACACGCACACACACGCACACACACACACACACACACACACACACACACACACACACATTTTTTTGTAATACATAAAGTGAGGTAAAGTCTGCAGTGCATGGTGCAGCTGACTTTGTCTCCTGAGGGATGCCCACTTGGCCTATATACTGATATACCGCATAGGTATTGTGCAACATATGCTGCTTTCATACAATCTGATCATCCTGACTCTATTTTCAACGACTCATCACTCCCATTCCCAAACTATTGCTGTTTGTCAAAGAAAAAAAACCCACAAATATACTCGAACTCATCTCTCCATACTTTTAAATGCACGTTAGGCGAATAATTCTTGATGAGAATGAAGACAAGAGAATGCATTAGAGTAAGTCCTCCATGTATTTCAGGATTTCGCGCAAAACCTGATGGAATGCATACCTGATCTGTGATGTATCACATTTTACACACCAGTGATAAGAGCAGCTATTATTATAAATGTCAACATTTAATAAACCTTCTCCAGTGAAGCAAAACAGTGGAAATTAATTACTTGTATTACTTGTGTATGCCTGCATGGCAATACGTATGGTCTGTTAGTGCTAGCTCATTTCTTTTGGCAGGATTGCTATTAAATTGAGTGTGATCGTATATTTCTTTGTGAGACCAAAGCCAAGAGGGTTTGTGTGCTTGCTTTAAGGGAGGACCATTTGCTGGTAAAAATTGTAATAGACTTTCTTGTAAAGATAAAAAAGTTAGTCCATAGCTCTCATTCCTTTGGACACCAAATTTGTTGCTGGAATAATGTTGTTGCCTCGAGTATAGTATATATTGTGTGATTTGTAAATTTCCCCAGTGTGGGACAAATAAAGGATATCTAATCTAATCTAATCTAATTTCTGTGAAGGTAAAACTTACATTATGTTATGCTACACTTGCTACGATGGACAAAATACATTTTCTCAGAAAATACATTGTCATTCATTGACTCATTGTTTTCAACAGTGTCCAATGCCTTTATCCTGGTGGCTCTTTATACAGAGAGACAGTTGTCAAAGGTAAGTCGCACAAACCCAGCGTTTTTGGATTATTTTTCTAAAACCATCCTTTAATACTGACTCAGCATCCCAGTCGCCAGCAAAACAAAGTTAGTTCCACCATCTACATTTCAGACATTCAGTCATACTCTAGCTGTTACAAAACTAAAGCCTTTTAAAACTTTACCTTGATAAAGTCATCATGTACTTGTTATACTCCAATAATCGAATAAATCGCACAGTATATAGGTACCTGTAACATCAGTGGCAACACAATATGTTTGACCTTGGTGGCTTATTTATTCCAACCAAATACGCTGACCGTGTGTGTCTTTCTTGCTCCTCCTAGGGTTCATTCAGTGAGCGTGTGGGCTTTCTTGTCCATAGTGTTAATTTGGCTGTCATGCTCACATTCCCTGCCGCGGTGGTACTCATGGTGCCCTCCACGACCCCAGGTAAAATGTTTTATTCTTCTTTACCTTTCTTAAAATGCCATTTCTCATGGTTCTCAATTAGGTGCTAACTCAATAGCATTGCTGTGGCCTAGCTGACTGTAGTTCTACCTTGTCATCTATTCTCACTGAGCGCCTGCAACATAGCTATGTGCGAGATTGAAAAAAATGTCAATGCAGTAAAGATTAAGAGGGCATTCCTATCTTTGTCCTTCGAAGAATCAGTCGATCCATTTGATTGTGCAGTAAAAGACGTCTCCTATAAGCCTGTCATAATTGGAGTCGGTTAGTGCTAATGGACCAGTTGGTCATGACTGGATTGTATCCAGCTGGCGGAGGAAGAGAAGGCAAGTATAGGAGGAGGCTAGTCTTGCCATAAAGAGAGTATGCTTTGCAGGAAAGGGTCATCAGGGGTTCACAGTCTTCTGTCTGATGGAAACTATGGCACACACGCTGGAAACTATAGAATTAATGCGCGCACGCCAGGTTTTATGTTAAGACGACATTTTGAGCACAGTGCCATCGCGAAAATTGAAAAGATGTCATGAAAGCTAGTGCAATCTTCAACCCGAGCAAAAATACATTCCTAAAGTCACACCAAAACCTAAAACGTCGTCATGAGTGACTTCAGCATACTCAGAAAAGTTCAGACGGTTCTCACAAAAGGTATATTTGAAATCCAAACTTCAAGTTTTTCATTTCAAAATGGTTCCCATGGAGTGGAACACACTTGCTCAGCTTTCTCTGCCACACCTGCAGTATCATGGCGAACTGGACATTCAACTCATTGGGAAGCAGCAGTCACAGAATGAGACAAGTAACACAATGTATTGCGTTCAGTTTAAAAAAATGTTCATTACCCTTGTTGATAATGATGGAATGTTAAAATGTGACTGAAAGTGTTGTCTCTGCATTTAAAAAAACTTTGCAGATGAGAACAGTTTTACTCTGGGACACTGGATGTAGATTAGTTCTTATTTCCATTATTTCCCAAGGGAAAACAAAATCTCAGCATCCCTTAACAGGTTGCACTGTAAAGTCATTTACAAGCCACCTGTCCGTTTACGTCCATGTTTAGATGCTGGTAGACTACTCGATTATCACCTGCTTGATTACTTGGCCTTCTTTTGAGGTCATGACTGCCATGTCCTTACTTAGCAGTTCTTTTGTCTCCAGGAGGTCCAAATCTGTCCTTCCCTAACTGCATTGGACTGCAAACATTCATTTGCAGTTTAGTGTGTGCGCGCGTGTGTCCATGCTTGCAATGTACTATGGAGAGTCGAGCCCTCTCGGAAACCTGTGCACAGAGTCCCTTCCTCAGGCTGGTTGCTAATGCTTTTAACGTTGTTTTGCCGTTCTCCATAATCAACAGGCCGATGTAAATAAAATCCCCATTAAGGTCAATGTTGTCAGCTAACCCCCAAAAGTTTCACACTATTAACATAATGCAGTATGGTGAGTACAGAGTCTTGACATTGCTTCTGTCCTTTAGTCATCAGTCTAGTGCAGCCATGGATCATTTTATGAGACACATTATGAGGCTGATAATGGGTTTCTTGCAAATACATGATAATTTGGTTGTTCTATTGCATGCATAACGCTAAAATGTTGACTTTGGCATTGAGATTAATTTCATGTCCAAACATCACAAAAGGCAGAAAGTGTCGCTGCTGCTTTTTGTCGTCCCCGCTGCCTTCGCCTCTGACTGGGAGCTGAATGAGTAAAGGAGTCAGCCCATCTGTCTGTTCTCCTCCTAGCTCTGCTGTTCACACCGGAAGGGCAGTACAAGAGGGCAGGTGTGTGTGTATATAAGACCACCAAGTGTGTGTATGCACACACACTTGGCTCCACAGCGGCCAATATAAAAAGGGGAAGAACAAAACCGCAGTCATTGCTATCTTGAACACATACACCTCAACATTTCTTAGGTTTCTTTTTACCTTAAATTACCATTTGTCTTTGTGTTCTGGAAAGACTCAGAGCATTCTATGGTCCAGAAAGTGGGAGTTTGGGAATATATTCTGTTTTGTAATTGCAGCCATTTTTTTGTAGAATACCTCAATTTCCTGCAGTGCAGAAGTATTTGGACAAAGTATGTCATTGTAAATATGAGAAAATGTTTAATCCTCGAGGTGTCACTATTACCATAAGGTGCCTTTGAGAAGTCCCAAATTCTCCACCAAAACTTTCATTTTCCGTTGAACTTCATAGTCATTGTATGAAGATGTTATGGTATTCGAAATCCATTTTGATCAAGCTGCCACACTTTCGATTAGACAATATACATGTACCTGCCAACAGCAAAATATGTCAGCTTGCTGAGAGGGTGGACATTTTAGTTAACATTCCATGAGCGCAACAAGTCTGAACATTGGAGAGCAACAAGATATAAATTGTCTTACTGTAACTCCAAAGATTCCCATTGACATTTTGTTGTTTTTATATTAATGTATTAATTGTTTTTAGAGAAGGACACATCAGAGAAATAGTTTGTGAACTTAATGGCAGTTTTATGTCTTGGATGGAAAGTTTATGTCATCACTGCGTGTGCCACAATGATCACCGGTAGCTTGTCTGGAGGCTATGTTAGCCAGAAAGACAGATGGCATACGAATAGGATCGGCTGTGATTTGACGCCAGGCGTTCTGACCTGCACTTTACTCTGCTGGCACAGCAGTCTTCATGTGTGTGCCTACCGCACGTGTTCCATTATATTAGTGCGATAAAATGTGTGAGTGTGACCCTCTGCCGGTAAACTACCGCTCCTGCTTCAATATCACGTCATTGTGCCATTCACACATTGGATGTTGACATGCCATCCTCTTTTCTCCCCTTTCAGTTGGAGGTGCATTTGCACTCGGTACCTACACCATTCTCTTCCTTAAGCTCTATTCCTACAAGGACGTCAACATGTGGTGTCGGCAGCTGAGCACCATGAAGGCCAAGAAACTGGCGAGGTCTCTGTCTTGTAAGTGACACACAAACTTGCCAATGGCCTTTGCTCGTGTGCTTACAGTGACATCTATAGGCAAGCATGTGTTACCGCAGCATTCCTGGTTTGAAATTGATCTGTGGCAGACCTTCATCTATTGTTGTTTTGTCCATAGGTCCATCATCCAAGTACTTCAACGGAGATGACCAAAAAGTTTGTTATCCTGGCAACCTTACAATCCGAAGTATTTTTATTTTGTTTGTGTTTTCTGTGATCGATTACTCCTGTAAAAAAAAAAATCAAAATGTCACATGTAACTTCTCTTTTGGTATCTGTAGACCTTTACTACTTTGCCTTTGCTCCGACTCTATGCTACGAGCTCAACTTTCCTCGCTCTCCTAAGATCCGCATGAGTTTCCTCCTGAGGAGACTTTTTGAGATGGTAAGAAGATATTTAATCCATCTATCACTGATTGTTTTTTTTTTTTTTTGTCAAATCAGCCCGCATCCACATTAGGACATGAATTACTTATTTGAGGGATAATAATTAATAATTCAAAGTCTCTACTGTTCTTGGGAATAGTTTTCAAACTGTTGTCTAACAAGTCGGAGTACTAACACATTGAGATTTTAACTGTGTGTGTATATCTCCAGCTCTTCCTCATCCAGATGTTAGTGGGTCTAACTCAACAGGTACAATTTTTCTGAAATCACTTCAGTGTCTCTTTGGAAGATGAAATGATGGTGCATATTTGAGAATATCCTTACACATTTTTTTTCCCTCTCTCCTCTAGTGGATGATTCCCATCATTGAAAGCTCCATGAAGCCGCTGGAGGTGAGAATTGAACATTACAGGCAGTTACAGAATTGTTTTGAATGTGTAACAGTTTTTTTTCTCTTTCCTCACTTGGATTGGAGGACATGGATCTATCTCGGATGACTGAGAGACTCTTAAGATTGGCTGTGAGTAAAAAAAAAAAATCAACATGGGCTAGGCGTTATACTGGGCTGATAACAGATGGCAAGATATGATTATTTTTGAAAGATTATTTCATGCGGTATCGCCTTTTCGTGTTTATATGGATCCCTGTCTCTGTATAGGTTCCCAACCACTTGCTTTGGTTGATGTTTTTCTACTGGTTCTTCCACTCTTCTTTGAACTTCACAGCAGAGCTTCTGCGCTTCGGAGACCGACAGTTCTACAAAGACTGGTGGTAAATATTTTGCTGTTGTCGTTTGCACTTTTCATTTTCATGAGGTTTTCAGTGGACCGGTTACTGTAATTCATGGCTGTGAATGTGGTGAGTGACAGTTGATCATTTTGAAAAGCCTCAGGGGTATCAGAGGGTATTAAAAGTGTCTGATAAAGTTTTTTTCCATCAGTATTAATGAAAGTGTCATACCCACTGATCCATTATTTAGGTTCTGTAAAGCCTCAGTATCCTTTTTTTCCTGACTCATCTTTCAGGAACTCTGAGTCGGTGACATATTTCTGGCAGAACTGGAACATCCCCGTTCACAAGTGGTGTCTCCGGTGAGTTATTCACACACTTAAACTTGGAGACGGCACAGTGAAATTCCTCGAAGAAAACTCAGGGGAGCATTTGGTTTGATGCAAGCAGACTGTACATGACACTATGATGTGTTTGGAAAATGACTTGAAAGAAAGTGCAAGTCACAAGTACAACACATGAAGCAAGAAAAAACAAACAGCGGAGAAAATGCGGCATCGTTATCCAAAGCAAAGTCATCGTTTGCAGCTTTTAATGAATAGCTGTATTTCATGACAGTTATTGAAGATACCGTAATTAACCATGACTTACTTGAATGATTATAACATTTACAGTACATCCTGGAACCTACTGCAAAAGCCATATTTTGTCCTTTTCTTGCCTTCCTTTTTCCATCAGTAAAGATAAAAGGTCATTCATGATTTCACTTCAGAAACCATATTGTTCACACACTGACGTTAAACAGTCAACCGTCTCTTCCTATTGCACATTCAGAGATCAAGTATCAATCAATACGTTATTCGAGATCCTCTCGGAAAACCAGGAGTACCAATATTTCTGTATTATAGTGCCCCCAGGTGGCCAAGACACCAGAAAGGGCTGTTGAGAAAGATGAATTGAGATTTTTGCATTACAAACATGGTCACAAATGAATTAAACTTGTATATCAAAGCACCACTAGCTACAGATATAGACTACTGCTTGATAGCTGTGTTTTTGGTATTATCCATGGCAAAATGTCAAGGGAATATTCGGTGGCAAGTAGCGTGACTCTGTGATTTTATCGATGTATGTATTGAAATTTCAAGCTCCGTGACGTGTTCATGTTGCAGGCACTTTTACAAACCGTTGCTGAGGAGAGGTTTTAGTCAGATAGTCAGCCAGTCAGCAGTCTTCTTCTTGTCGGCGTTCTTTCACGAGGTACAGCTGAGCCCATGAACTAACCTTCTGCTCATGCAAACCTGTAGAAGCAGATATAAAGTTTCAAGTGTTCAATGCCATCTGTTGGTCCCCACCCCCCCCCCATCTGTGTGTTAGTATCTGGTGAGTGTTCCTCTGAAGATGTTCCGACTGTGGGCTTTCATGGGCATGATGGCTCAGGTAAGCTGATTTGGAATCTGAATGCTGTGAATGTATGTATTAAAATCCTTATTGTGCTATTGTTTTGTGATATTGTTACAAATAGTAAAAAAAAAAAAAGATATCAAGTAAAAAGTAATGATTGCTTAATGTTGAATTTAGTTGTGCACATAATCATAAATGTAAAATAAAAATATACTTCCATAGCAGTATTCATAAAAGCAAATGACATTACGTTTAATAATAATATAAAATAATAATTTACCATTTTATTTCCTCATTTGTTGTCTTGGAGAAATGATACATTGGCTTCAACTTAAAGTTTCATCGCCAAATATGGTTCCCTGTCCACCTTTTGAGCATAGCAGCACGTTTGATCTTGAATGGGATTACAATACAATTTCTTCTCTCCCGCTCCTAATAAACATCAATGTTGATGTCTTTATTTTTCATTAGCTTCCGTTAGCCTGGTTTGTTGGCCATCACCTGCGTGGTAACTACGGCAACGCCGCAGTGTGGATTTCACTCATAATTGGTCAACCCTTTGCCATCCTGATGTACGTCCACGACTACTACGTCTTGCATCATCGACAAGAGACCCACTGATCTGAAGTTGATTCTTTTTCTCTCTCTGAGTGTTAGACATGCAAGCAGACACTCGAGTCTATTTTGCCATGGCAGCCATAAACCTTACATTAACTTTAATGTTGGAGACCAACTCATTTTTTGCAATTATGAGCTTTTCGAGTTTTTATCATGTCACTGTTGATAAATATTTAGAAATTTCCTGACATAGCCGCTTTTAAATTTGATCCAAATAATTGTTTGTATGCTGGGAAAGCGATTTTTTTTTCTCTCTCTCTTGTCCTTGGTATGTCAAAATTATCTTCAGGAGACTTTTTTTTTGCCAGTGTCCTTGCGCAACTTGTTCTCACTTTAACTTATTTGAAAATGGTACATCAAAAATGAAAACTGTTTTTCCATTTACTGCACACCTCAAACTCTGAACATGCTGCACCAAAACACCAGATTTTGCTACGAAACCAGTTTTTAATTCCGTTAATGCACTTCCGTCTATAAATTTCCGTAAGAACGGACTTCTGAAAAAAACTTTAGCCTCATGTGTTCTTCCCTGTTCTTTTCCTTTTCTGTGATGCATTTGTAAAAAAGTGAATAATAGAAAATGTTCATGCCGTCCGTCTATGTTTGAAGTGCCTTCATAAACATCATCATAGTGGACTCGTCATCAGGTTTTGTCAAAATGTTACTGTGAAATGAGTGCAAAAAAAAAAAGGTATGCGGTGAGATTGTTTTGTGGTACAGTTTGTATTTCCTGTTATATTTTCAATAATATTCGTGCAAAAAAAAATTCATGTTGCTGTGGTGTCAATAAATATTTTTTTAATGACTCAGCTTTCTTTGGTGTTTTCTTTTATTTGAATAAATATTTGTATTTCAAGTTTTTGATGAAGAATCAGACTCCAATAACATACAGAAAATTGTGTTGAATAATGGGTCGACAAACACGTGGATGTAGACCTCCTCCAAACTAACCACCCTTTTGAATTCGCTGCTAAGCTCAAGTTTGTACGAATGTTCCGTGTTCTCATCATCACCACGACATGAGGACAAGTCTGAGTCTGCTTTTCTTCACTCTGACATTGAATTCAATAGAAGGCCTTCAGCAATCACAAAGTGTCTGTACATGTGTGATTTGTTGTTTTATTTATATATATATATATATAATTGATTTATTTTTACAGTACATAAATCGATGATCTGTGCAAATATGACTAGAGAGGTAACAGCAGACTACGTACGTCATAGTGGCAATGAGCCCAAATTCCTTTTAGTGTAAATTTGAATTATTTCTCCAAAGCATGTGCTGCACTGTAATAGAGAGTTGGGTTATATGAGGCAAAGAAATAATAATTCATATAATGTATGCCGTTGCCTATTATGCACAGTAAAAAATATATACGGTATATAAAGGACAACAGACAGTTTTGGATGCAGGCAGTCCTTTCACAAACATCTGAACATTCCATCAAATTTGGGGGTAAAAAAAAAAAAGTCAACATGCTGCAAAAGGAGGCTCGTGAAGGACAGACCCCTCCATCTATCGGCCCCTCATCCCTGACAAATGTATCACTTCATGCATCATGAGAACAGAGGGAACGACGTAAAAGGTGCAGAAACTTTGCCGTCTGGCATCCATCATCTGCTAATTCCTGACAGGACAGTCTTTCAGTTCTCCTTGCTTGACTCACACTCTGGAACGTCATTGCTGACCCTCACACCCCCGCAACAAAAACACATCATTCTCTGATCCTCCTGTCATTTCTGTCGTAATGCCTTCAAATACAGATGAACCCCTCGCTCAATTTTTGACTGCATTCACTTGCTTTAGCAATTTTTTTTGGGGCTGGGGGGACATCGCCCTTCACTTCTTTTCTGTCTCCTGTGTCCTGCGTCTTTTCTTTGTGTCGTTTCTCAGTAACAGGTTGATCCATGGCCCCTTGTCCAGACATCCGTTATTCCGGATGTTTCCAAGGAACGTTGCCAAGCTGTGAGTGATGATGATCCTCTCGACAGGAAACCAGGAGACACAAACCTGTCTCATTCTGTCACATGGGATGTAGCAGAGGCCTGGGGGTGAGGTATAAAAAGACTTTTGATGCAAGGTATTTGTAAATCTATACATGTTAGGCAAATGCGTTAAGTTTTGTTGTTGTTTTCTTGCTATGATGGGAAAGTAATTTGATTGACATTGATTGCAAGAATCGACCGTTCTACTCTTGTGACAGTATTTTTTTAAAATAAAATTCATATCCCCATTAAGTGTAAATGTGTTCTTGTTTGGTGGAAATGACAAGAAGATCACAGGTATCAACATTTTCCCCTCGATGTGGGGTGCCCAAGGAGTGACGAGGGTTGGCTATTGCCGCCCCTGGCCGAAGCAAGGCAGGAACCCAGATTTGAACCTCCAACCTCAGAACTAGGAAGCAAAAGTGCTCACACCTAGTTTACCATTTGCCCATTTGTTTACGTGACATGTGATATTCGCGTACAGTTCACATGAGCATGCTTGTCTGATCAAAATGCAAACAAACACTCGGACTTCCTGCCTGAGGACCAAACGGGGATATTTAAAGTCGGGGAAAGGGAGGGAGGGATGTTGGAAGACATTGAAGGGGCAGATGGGAACTTAAGAGGCACGTTAATAGGCGGAGAAAGACAAACTAGAGATACTGAGAGGCAGGATGGCGCACAAAAGAAGGCTTTGGTGAATTTAAAGAGAAAGCTGCGCATGGAGAAGAAGAAGCTGCAGGGACACAATATGATGATGATGATGATGATGATGATATTTTGTCTGAACTCATAGGGCAAGTTGAGCAGAAACAATGACTGCAATGCCCTGCTTGGATAACTTCACTGCATCAAGGATTTGAACCCATCTGATCGACTGAGTCTCCTGCTGGGCTCATAGTGTTTTCTCTCAAGGTACGTTTAAAGAAGATCCTCTCTATTCTTGTATGATAGCTTTACACCTGATCTGGGTTGCCTCCAAAAAAAAAGATGCTTGCACTGAGCATAAACTACCTGTTTACTGCTTTTAATCATACAGTACAATCCTCCCTTTGAAATACAAAGTTTATTTGCGATTTGAGTTTTTACGGAAATGTACACCGTTGAGGCAAATCTACAGGGTTGTATTCCCATCCTGCAACCAGAACAGTTATGACACTTAAATCAAAGTTATTGCGGAAACAAAAGGTGTCAATTGTCTTGAGGGGCTCTCTAAAATGCAATAAGACGATGCTGGACTTCGTAGATATTTGTTGCATCACTCCCTTGCTTTAGTCCTCCGAGGCTCACACAACACAACAGACACACAGACACACACACACACACGCACACACACACACGCACAAGCTTATAGAGACTCTCACGCTGCTGGAATTTATTTGTGATATGCCTGGGAGCCCTCCGGACTCTTCTCTGTGTCTCTTTGCAGCTATTGCATCACCACTGTGTATGATGTATTATATAGCAACATGCTGACAGTATGCATTGATATATTGGTTGGAAATATGCGCTAAATAAATGTAGAGTCCATTAGGAGGCCACACAAACATGTTTGCAAAAAAAAAAAAAAAAAAAAAATGGGATTGTATATTTAGAGAGGGTGTCTAATGGTTAAACTGGCAATGTTTACACTGTATTTTCATGCTCTGTCATGGGAAATAAGAGCTCCAATGAGCGATTACAATCAAATCTCCAAATTCTCTCACAGTTTGTTCTGTGATGCTGGTTGACTTCCAAGCTGTTTGTTTGTAGTAGAAGCCAATTTTTGCCATTGAATTAAAAATGACTTTATTTGTCCCTGCCACCAACCGTGGGTATCTTAACACCTTAATTAAGGGTTGAATCAAGGTTTCACTTAAAATTCTAACATTCTCCTTCAGGGGGAGCATCACAAAAATAACATGACAAAAAAGTGATAAAATAATAAAAAACAGACGTGGAGTGAAACCGTTTGATGCTCACTGAAATAGAAAATGAAGTAAATGAGTTATTAACCCTTTGAGGGACAGCGGTTGCTACAGCGGACAGCTTATTGTTATCAGGTTACAGGTTATCATTCTTGGTGCATGAAAGGGTGAAAGACCCACTGACACCAAGCATCGTTTTCTCCTGTGGAAAAATGTAGATCTTAACAAATGTGATATTATAATATACTATATGATATTACAACAACCATTCATGCTCACACTCGCACCTCGGAACAATTTTTTAGAAGGGGTTTATCAGATTCTATTTTGTTGCTTCATTTTAGTTGAGTTAGTATTCGTTTTACCGTAGTTTTTTTTATTCATGCATGGCATATTTGTCAAGTGCAAGATTTAAAAAAATAATAATGATAACTGAAAGGATTGTGCAATCAAGTAAACTACAATTCCCGAATGACTGTTCCATTTTCCAGCATGACTGAACAGAAATCACGTTTGAAATCAACTCCAAATGTTCATATATAAAATGATTTGACAAAGACGAAACCGAGGTCATTTTTGCTATAATTATGGTTACCTTTAGTTCATATCATAAATAAAAAATGTTTTTTCATTTAGCTTTTTTAATAAGCACCATTGTTTTTGTTTCATGTTGTTAATGAAAATGTTTCTTTTGGTTTTAGTTTGACTTATTTCATTAGTTTTCATTAACTGGAATAACTTTGGTCACAAGTCAGTCATGGGGCGCATCTCGAGACACCGTGACAGACAATGATTCACAGCACAAATACATTCAGTTATGTTTTGACCTGAGATACATGTGCAAAATGAATGGAAGACAACTGTTCTCATACTGTATGCATGTATTTTTGATCTCGTGTATGTGATTTGCACGATGCTCTTGTCATCGTCCTTCAGGTGCTCACCACCATCAGCAACCTTAATCCTCCTTCTCCTCCTCCCCCTCCTGGGCAATCGGCCCCCGTCAGGGACTTGCCCCCACTCCCGGGTCCCACACCCGGTACGACTCCCCTCCGTTCCGGTGGGGCGAGCGCTCGGTGCCTCACCTTCTGGTGAGACCCCACCTCCTTCCCCGCCGGCTGGTGGGCATTTAGCCGCGTCTGGGGCACAAGAGCCCCAGCGTTCCCCCCCTCCCACCATCATCATCATCATCATCATCATCATCATCATCATCATCATCATCATCATCATCATCATCATCATCCGTGTCCATCATGAGCACCGTGAGTGCAAACAGCACGGCATCCTGGGCTATGATCAACACTTCCCTTGGCAGCCATGCAGACGTGTCCAGTGTCAGCAACACAAGTGGCATGGAAGCATACCTTCAAAAATTAGCTCACTTGGACGAGGGACTTTACAATGACTTCTATGGACTTTGGATAGCGCTCATGATCATAAACTCTCTCATTTTCCTGGTATGTAAGTCCTGTTTTTTTTTTCAATGGAACGTTTTGCATAGTTGCTCACTCTCATGTTGACGAGCCCGCCTCCTATTTCAGGTGGGCATGGTGCTCAACACGTTGGCTCTTTACGTGTTCTGTTTCCGCACCAAGCAGAAGAGCACCTCGGTGATCTACACCATCAATCTGGCCGTGACAGACCTGCTGGTCAATCTCTCACTGCCGACACGCATCTTGCTTTACTACAGTGGAGGAGCTTGCCTCACCTGCTCCTACTTACACATCTTCAGCTACTTTGTCAACATGTATTGCAGCATCCTTTTCCTCACCTGCATATGTGTCGACCGCTACCTCGCCATTGTGCAGGCGAGTAGGAATCATCCTCTTCACGATGTCAAGTCTGAACCATGAGATATTTGACAGAAAGTTACTATTTCTATTTATAAATTGTCTATATATAAAATTGCATTGTTAATGTGCAAACCGTGCTTCATGTTGAAGTGACTTACAATAACACTGGTCAACAAATGTGTATAAATGCTTTTCATCAGAGACACAAGTAATCTCTTTTGGATGTTTTTTTTTTGCACTGATTTTGACTCTACCCTTGCAATTTTTTTTTAAACCAACATCAAAAATATGTTTTATGATGGTGATGACTGTAATTTTCATGTCCTTACAGGTTGAAGCATCTCGCCGGTGGCGCAACTCCGGCGTGGCCAAGTGTGTGTGTATCTCTGTGTGGCTGTTCGCCATTGTGGTCACCTACTCCTTCCTGTCCACGGCTTTCCAACATACCGGCTGCTGCATCTCCAAGCTCCTCTTCCTCACCCTCACTGAGTTTTTTCTACCCCTTGTCGTCATCGTTGTGTTCACACTGCGGATTGTATGGGCGCTTGCCGATCATCGCCTAATGCAGCAAAGCAGGTACAACCAACATTATGAATTAATGGTTATTTTTTAATGGTTTCTGTTTTTATTAAGTGTTGGCATATTTAGTGTGCATTTGAATTTTTTTTCCGTTTAATGAAAAAAAAAATCACATAGCGATAACATGGCCCTGCAAAATTTAAAAACAATGCTGTAATATACATGCCAGGGCAGTAGATGGCAATGCCACAGTGGCTGAGCAAATCATTTTCAATTCAAAATGGTGGTGAAACAACTACAATTGAGGTTAATGATAGGCACTTTTGCTGTCAACATCACACATGTAAGAAATATATAGAAAGGGCATTTAGCTTCAGAACAAATATGCAGGGCACATTAGCTTTCTAAAGCATGTACCATGCCAGTACTTAGGCCTCATAGTCAGGGTTACTGCATGAAAATCTGGGTTGGAGCTAGCAAATGTTGTTATGTCCGTTGCATGTCCAGCTGGAAGACTGGTACAGTGTTTGACTAGATGATGGAAACCCCCCGTTAATGAAGAATCATTCTCATTCATTTGTACAAACCCACTGAAATAAAACAAAACCAAAAAAAAAAGCTACAGCAGGGTGATTCTTGTTGAGAAGCTTAGCTCAAGTTGGTAAGATGTGACTGAAAACACCAGCTCCGTTGTCTTGGAGAAACTAGCAGCACAATGTATGAGTTGTATGAATGTCTTGCCTTGTAGCTAAAAGGTTCTGTGTTTCAATCTGTATTCCGCCCACTTTCCCAAAGCATGAATTTAAGGTTAACTTAAGACTCTTTAATTGCCAACGCATTTGTCTACAAGCGGACAGCAGGTGATCGACCAGTCGAGGGAGGACCTTGTCAAAAGACTAAGCTTACAATGCAATAAGATCTTCCAATCCAAGTCACATCCGAAGGAAATTACAGAAAAGTGAGCGGAAAAGTGCAAGAGTAGATCCTTAGCCCTTGTTTATCCGTGCAGGAAGAGACGCAGGAGGGCCGTCCAGCTACTGACCACAGTCTTAATCATCTTCACCGTCTGCTTCACACCGTTCCACGTACGACAGGTGGGTGAGAAGAGCTGGCGTGCTCTTATCAATTGCAACTGCCAAGCAGTGACATTGCGTTATGCATCCGCCATGTAGGTGGTGGTGTATTTCTACCCTGATATGCCGCACCACGAGATCGTCTACCATTTGACCGTCACACTCAGCAGTCTGAATAGCTGCATGGATCCTGTGGTATACTGCTTTGTGACTAACAACTTCCAGGTAGGATTGCAGCTTGTTGATTATACAATACTGTACAAAAATAATTCCCTAAATTGAACAACACTTAAAAGCCACAGTGTATGGAATTTAGTGGCATCTAGTGGTAAATTCATAGAATGCAATGACCTAAGCTCAACGTTAGTGCATTTTGAAGGACACGCACTCTGGTGCCAGACCACAGATCGCAAACCTTGTGCCAAGTTCCCCAGCAAAGGTGCAAGTAATACGTCATTCTCGCTAGTTCTCGGTCAAAGGACGGAGTCAGTATATGACATGTATACCTATGCTGTAGTCATGATGTTGAGGAACTACGTTCGATAAAGTGTTTTTCTCCTTCAAAGGACGGAGTCAGTATATGACATGTATACCTATGCTGTAGTCATGATGTTGAGGAACTACGTTCGATAAAGTGTTTTTCTCCTTCGGGCATCCGTAGCAGAAAGATGGCGGCAAAACATGGCGGCCTCGCCTTCATTTCATCCGGAATGACATTTAAAAAACTATGTTGATGGGATAGAACATATTTCTTTTGCATATCATTGAAATTAGTGGTATTTTTTGTAATAATGAATATTGAAAAAGCTACAATTTTTACAGTGACCCTTTAACTGACATTTTGTAAAATAGTATTATGACAGTACAGTAGATATAAAAATTCTAGACACCTGTTCAAATGCCAGGTTTTTGTGACATACGGAAAAAGCAAGACTAGAATGATTAGAAAAAAATAGAATAGAACAGAATAGAATAAAGGGCTGCACAGTGAGTGGTCGAGTGGTGAGCAAATCTGCCTCACAGTGCAGAGGTGCAGGTTTCGATTCCGGCTCCGACCTTCCTGTGTGGAGTTTGCATGTCCTCCTGGTGCCTGTGTGGGTTTTCTCTGGATACACTGTTAATGAGGCACTCTAAATTGTCCCTAGGCGTGAGTGTGTGTGTGAGTGTGGATGGTTGTCTATGTGTGCCCAATGATTGGCTGGGAAATAGTTCAGGGTGTACTGCCCAAAGACAGCTTTGATAGACTTCGGCACACCCCGTGACCCTTGTGAGGATAAGCGGATCAGGAAATAAATGGAAGGTTGGATGGTATTGCACAGAAAAACTGTTCTAGCCTGAAAAGGCTTTCTGATCCACCTTTTTGCATCACTATGCAGCTGAACAGGACAGGTTTAAAAAAATTAGGCACTCTTTATTGAGTCATAACAGACTGTTATTTTCCTGCACAGGCAACTATGAGGAATATTTTCCGGCGTGCAGAGGCAGAGCAAAGCAGCGGTGATATCGTCAGCATGCAGCACAGTTCCAAGGCCTCAGGAGGGGAGGCTGCCACGGCTGTCCCTAGTAATGTGATCATGATGAGCATGATTCCCCCATCACCACAGAAAAGCACTCAGAGGATTCACAAATTGTAACTCACTTGTGGATTTTGCAGCATCAACTGTGGGACGGACACCAATTGGACATCAATGAACAGCATTGATATAACAAATACAATAAATCACGGATTGTTGAAGACTCACTTCTGGGCTGACAGTTTGCATTGCAGAAGGAAGTAAAGCGGCACAAGGACTTGTATGGTCACAAATCAAATGATGCCATTCCCAAAGGATCTTAAAGGAAGGATTTAAGAGGGATGAAAGACAGTAATTTAAAAAAAAAAGAGGTGGTGACTACACCTTTTTGTAGTTGGATGAATGTATAAATGTTTTTATGGCTTGGATTATCTCAGAAGAGAAAGACAACGTCAAGGAACGATGACACCCTTTCTCGGCGGCAACAATGCTGGGAGAACAATTGAGTTCACCTTTTAATGTATTGTACAGTGTGCAGCACTTTAATAAACCACCTGTCAGAGAATCAGCTTTGAGAGGGTCCACTAAACCCGCGACCCTGTGAGGATAAAATGGTTCAGAAAATGGAAAAATTGACATATTATTAACAGAATTCAAATAAACAATTAAAGTACAGTATAAGACCAAAATCTTTTTACCTTTTTTGGTTGTCTACAAATTTGAAAGATTTAATGTAACAACCGATATTTATTAAAAATACCATAAAACATTAACATTTTCCAATAGAATAAAAGAACACGAACAATATTGCAAATTTCGATATCTTTAAATACAAAACAAGTGTTGTATTTATCCCCAGTCATTATAGTATGACCAGTCTTTTCAGATCATTTATGTAGATTTTTTTCAACGTCTTTATTGAACAGATGCAAATTAGAATAAGCCGAGGACGTAATGCTTGGGGGGATAAAAAAATAGTTATATACACTCAAAAATATTGGACTCAAGCAGAAATAGTTGTAATTGCTTCATGTCCGAAGAATACCAAATTGAAAACAAATGTAATGTGGCAAAAAGGCATGGCGTTCCTTTATGTACACTTGATTCGTGCTACGTTACATTTTTTTCGTCATCTTCCGGAAATGTACGTATGATGACGCAACCCACTCGCTATCCTGGCCACGCCTCTCTTTGTTACTGTGGAAACCGGTGAGGTTGAGGGGGGGTGTACTGTAGTTGCAAGTGGCGCGTTAAAACCGTACTTATTTAGCTGCCAAAGGTTAGCCAAGCTCGCTAGCCCAAACTGAGAGCTTCGCTGTCCGCGGTATCGAAGACGCTGAAGTGACGACGAAGAAGTGGGTTGTTTATGGAGTACCATTTTCAGGTCTGTTTCTGCATCTTTATTATTATTTCTCTACAAATATAATCAATACTTAAGTCACCGTTGAACGGCACGTTAGCGCCTCAAGTTTAACGCTAGCCAACCAGTGAAATAGTAACTGGCGCAGCTGGACTTGACACATGACGTATTAAATGCACACGGGAGTGTCAGGAGAGGGGGAGCAACCTTCTAAAAACATGTCCCGACTGGCTCAGCAATCTCCACTAATACCATTCATTCCAAGGTAGGAAACATTAATTTTCACGCTGCTTACCGGAAAATAGAAGAGTCTGTCAGCGAATACATTGCTCTTTAGACATTAATGCTTGATGCAACCGTGTAAAATCTTAATTGCTGCATCCGAGCCAAGCTTTTTTTTTATTTTGAGCCTTGAATAAATCGCCAATGGCGTTTTGCCAAAGAGTGCATCATCAAAGTCATGTCTTATTCAGACTTGGTGTCATCGCTTTTGGCATACAGTCAGATAGATTGTTGTGATTGCTTCTCATGGGGGAGAGCTCTTAATTTGTTCGCCATATTTCGCGGAACATTTTTGCCTCATAAGTTGCTCAGGAAAATTTAAGGTAGAACTGTAGCAGAAAAAAAAGTAATGATGGCTGAGGGAGTGTCAGACGTCTGCTCAACAAGGATATTAAACGAATTGATTATACAGAGCACAAAGTGAGGCAAGTAGTCGTGACGGCGGTCACTTTGCTTACCAGCGGTTTTTGAAACAATTACTTGTTAACCTTTACCGTTGGTTATTCACTCACGTAAACGGCAAGGGTTCGGTTAGCTACAAGCAAGTGCCGCATTGCCTCGTCACAAAACTGGGCCAAACAAATCATGCAAACCAGTTAAAAGTCGTATTCATTTAGCTTTATTTCCAAGGCCGTTTCAAACTATTTCTAAAACTATGTTGTACTATGCCAATTACGTTGAGCTATATATTTCCCGCCCTTCTGAAATGTTGACACCAAGAATGAGAAATGTTGTGGCTTTGTCAGAAGATCTTCGCATCATCATATTGCTTGTCATCACCCCAATTTTCAAAGCTCCTCAGGGGCATATTTGTGTGGTTGTTTTGGGATGGCTATATTATTACACTGTAGTTGCATGAATTCATTTCTTTCTTAGACAGACAAACTGCATCATTGAGCAGTCACACACGAGTGTCATTTCTAGTGGAGATCTAAACATGAGATTCTCTTTCACTGCATCATATTTGCTCAAAGGTTGATTGTTTATTTAGATAAATCTGATATGTAATCTTGCCTTTGATGGCCCATGTGTCAGTGTGGCTGCAGAAAAATGCAACGTGTGCACGTGGAAGATAATCTCAAATCAAATCTCATATGGGCTGTGCAATACTGGATTTAAACCCGTTTTTCTGCAGGTTGCCGTATTTCTCGAGGAACCGGCACACGTTTTGGCTCCAAGTGGCATTTGCTGCTGATGGACAAGCTCTGCTGACAAGGACGCTCAAATCTTGCACAATCCAAAAGCTTCCACTACCCCACGCTGTCACTGTAACCACAGTTACAAAGTAACTCCAAACCTCTACCCAGAACACCCCTTCCAGTTTGAGAAACACTGTTGCTTCCCTGCTGAGCGACGGGATCCTTTTTAGTTATCAAATCCTTTAGAAAACAGGATGGCTGGGATAAGATTTTCATCATTGGCCATTTTCAGGTAAGTGGTAAAATTTATTAATGGTGTTAGACCAGTGGTGGTCCGCCATCCATTTTCCAGCGGCATGCGACATGACCCGCCCCCCCCAAAAAAAAAAAACAATTCTAAAAATCACATTTGATGTGGGCCGCAAAGCGAGGTAAAAAAAGTGAAGGTGGGCAAAGTGAGAAGGGAATGCGGTTGACCTCTTCTGTGTATTCGAAGATACAAACGAACCATTTATGATTCAAGGAATAACACAATTCATCTTCAAAGCACTGTAGCGAATAAAGATAAGCGTGTTTCAAAAGGTTGAAGAATTTTGAAGTGGCTCTTTCATCCTTCCGTTTGGCTGTGTGCGGCCCTCAAACGAAAAAAGTTCGGGCAGCAGAAAGAAGAGTAAATGCACATTAATTCTGTGATGTACACAGGGGCTGCGCTGCAGAGGACTCAGTAGGTGGTTGTGAATGTTTTGAAACGACTTTGCTGTATGAAGTAGCGAGGCAGTTAAAGGTTTTGATGACAGGAGTGATGTGAATATTACGGAGGGGTTTAAGCGAAAGACTAAACGCTCCCTCTGCTTGTGAAAAGTGAAAATGAACTCATGGATGTTGATTGTATCTCTTGTAGAGCTACAGCCACAATATAACGGGACAAAGACGCACATAGGAAAGCACTGATGGGAGAACTGGCAGCCTCAGACCTTGATGACAAGAGGAGGCCGATGGGAGAAGACCGCGAAAGTGAGACAGAGGATGCAGAGGAAGCATCGGGCAAAAGCAGAGGCATGCAGATCCCCACGCACCGCTGGGTAATGCACGGAGCAGTCATGTTTGGTCGAGAATTCTGCTATGCTATGGAAACTGCCCTGGTCACACCAGTGTTGCTGCAGATAGGTAAGAAAACAGTCAACAGCGACAAACCCTCATTTGAAGCCCCGCAGTTGCCAGTCTAGTTAAATGAATTGCCTGACCTATGGCAATAAAGTAGTTTCATGATTCCAGTTTTGAAAATCAAATATTAACACTTTGAGGCCGTCAAGTTGTTTGTACTAAAGTTACTTGAGTACAAAGTGAGGTTTGAGATGAATTTTTAACCCTTAAGGCTGGACACTGTACATTTTAGGCCCACGTACACATTATGAGCACCCGTGACTGCTTACACAATGGGATGATACCCAATATAATAGCAACAAAGATGATAAGTGACATCATAATTGATCTTGTCAATAATAACGCACGACTGAATTGCATCGTAATGTTCTGTACCTAATATTTTGGGGACCTGACTTAGTCCGATGAGAGAGTCCACAATTTTAGGACATACCATACTCTTACTTTGTCAATCAAAACTGAAAGTTAAGAGTCGACCCCTGCTCTTCGCGGAGGATAAGACCGGACTTGCCTCCAAATCGTCAAAATCCGGGTAGCATTGACGTCCATTGAAATGCATTGACGAGGTAAAAATAAAAAACACTTTTTTTAACCTAAGAAATCGCTGATGAATATTTGCTGTTTTCTACGAAAAACGAGAGAAATGCGGAAAAATATCCTGGAGGAAATATGAAAATATTTTTTAAAATTGAAAAAAAAAAAAAATCCACAAATGTGTGAAGATGCAATTGCCACACCATGAGTATCGGGGGGTGTTGGCTGTACTATCTTCTATAATAGCAACATATTTAATAGAATTCTTATAATATTACAGTAATCCCTCGTTTATCGCGGTTAATGGGGACCAAAACCACCCGCGATAAACGAAAATCCGCGAAGTAGCGACTAATTAACATATTAAAAAAAAAAACTTCTTTTTTTTTTTAAGTCCGCAAAAAGTCCGCAAACGGTCCGCGAGAAGCTGCAAAACAACAGCGAGTCACATAGAGCAACATATACAGTACTGTACTCCATGTATATGAATTTATTTATTTATTTGTTTATTTATTTTATGAATATGTTTGAAAAACTCCGCAATGCACTGAAGCCGCGATAAACGAACCGCGAAATAGCGAGGGATCACTGTATATGTTATAATTTTACATTAGTGGTTTAATATTGTGGCTGGTCAGTGTAGTAGTAAAATTCCCCTCCGCTATCCATCCACCCATCATTTGACTGAACCGCTTATCCTCACGGTCCCGGGCATGCTGGAACCTATTCCAGCCGTCTTCTGAATGCAGGCGGTGAAGATCCTGAACTGTTTGCCAGCCAGTCGCAGGGCACACCTCGACAAACAACCATTCACGCTCACTCTTACACCTAGGGACAATTTAGAGTGTTCAATTTACCTGCCATGCATGTTTTTGGAATGCGGGAGGAAACTGGAGTATCCGGAGAAAACCATCGCAGACACGGACGGGGAGAACATGCAAACTCCACACAAGAACGCCAGTGCTGAAATCAAACTAGGAACATCTGCACTGTGAGGCAGATGTGCTAACCAGTC